GGCATGCTCAGAAACCTCCGATGTTAAAAGGTCCCTCTGTGCAAAAAGGTCAAGAACTGTACAGATAGACCGAAGTTTTCTACCTTCCTCATTTTTACCAATTTCTAACTTAAAGTGTGGTTTAAAATTTAACACTGGGGGCAAAATATATCCTGAGCATAATTACCATGTGATAGAAAGAGCTATGTTCTGGAAATGAAGATTGTTTTGGGGGAAAAAAGCTTGAGAGAAATCATTAATTCTGATAGGCAAAATCCATAAAGGAGGAAAAACGTGAATCACGGTATCGTTGGGTGCAAAATGCCCACAGGAGCGGCTCTGATGATGGGACGACAGCCGGGTGCAGAGGAAAGATCAGTTATGTGGAGGCAGAAGACCTTGCATCAAGTCCCAGCAATTCAACCTACCAGCTCAGTGACCCTAGACAAGTCCAAGTTTACCTCCTCATCTGTAAGAAGCACTAAATAGCAAAACAAATGCTTTCAAGGCTGTTGGGCTCGAATTAGATAATGGAGGTGGAAGTACTTTATCAACTAGAAGGAAGTAAAATAAATGTTATTTGTTGCCATGATTATAACAACAACTTTGATTTTGCAGTTTATACTGACGTTTTACTCAAAAATATTTTCCTCGGCCAGGCGCAGTGGCTCACGCCTGTAATCCTAGCTCTCTGGGAGGCCGAGGCGGGCAGATTGTTTGAGCTCAGGAGTTCGAGACCAGCCTGAGCAAGAGCGAGACCCTGTCTCTACTAAAAATAAAAAGAAATTAATTGGACAACTAAAAATATATAGAAAAATTAGCCAGGCATGGTGGCGCATGCCTGTAGTTCCAGCTACTCGGGAGGCTGAGGCAGGAGGATCGCTTGAGCCCAGGAGTTTGAGGTTGCTGTGAGCTAGGATGACGCCACGGCACTCACTCTAGCCAGGGCAAAAGAGTGAGACTCTGTCTCAAAAAAAAAAAAAAAAAAAATTTTCCTTTTTGGTAGTTTTGACACTTCAGGGATGTTGCAACCAAAGAGTAATAAATGCTTTGATTCACTTGGTCTGAATTACAAGATGATTTATTTTACCTCTAAACTGCAACTGTGAATTTTCCACTTCTTTTCCCTCTCAGTGTTACAAGTCTACAACTCCACCTCCACTTCTGCGGAAGGAAATTCCCACTGATTTCAACCCCTTCTTCCACGTTCATTTTTCTTCTCTTACGTGGGGTAAAGTCTGGAAGGGAATGATGCAAAGTCTCTCTGTGCTGAAAGTATCAAACTTCCTTTGCAAAGAGGTATCTTCCTATTTCAGCATAAAAAGCACGAACGTGCTTCACTTCATACAAGGAGAAAAACAACGGGTAGAGCTGCTCTGGTTGGGATTTCCTCAACTCCATGGGACAGAGAGGAAGGCAGGTGGGCTGCAGCATGGCGGAGGGAGCAGATTACACTTGGGCTCAGACAAGCCTTTCAGAACCCATCCGGAGACAGGAAGTGATGAAATCAGCTCGCATATGAGCTGTCATGTGCACCCAGCCGCTTCCTGTCTCGGTGGGGAGAGCAGGGCATGGGGAAGTGGGTCGTGGGGAGAGGGAAGAAGAGGCCAGAGACAGACGGTGGGAAAAGTCCCAACTCTGCCCCTTATGGTTCCCTTATTCTTCTGAGACTGGGATTAAGTAAACTGGTTTATTTCCACTTCCAGTAACTCATCTCTTATTGTGAAAATCTGCTGAATTTAACTATACCCCCTCGTGAACACTCTGATGCTATTGACAACGCTTTTGGAAGAAAGCAAGTGTCAACATATCACAGAGCCTACTAACTGTTTAGTTAGAGCTCAAATGCCCAATGGACTTATATAATTCTTCTTCTGCTCTAACCCTAAGTAGTAAAGTTGGGAGAAGTGAGAGGAAAGGTTGGATGATGTAAGTATCTGGGCACCAGGTATCCTCTGTCACCTTGGGCCGGCCTTATGAATGAATATTTACTACTCGTGTTATTCACGATGGAAAAGGGGTAACGTTAATGAGTAACACAGGTTAGAAGGAAAAGGTGAAAAAATATGGAGATGGCATTCTTGGCACAGGAGATCACTTAGGACAGGTGCATGGAGAAGGAGGAGGAGCTCTGGGTAGTGCTGGTCGTAAGGAAACTGAGGATATTCCCGTGGGACGGGGGCTCAGGCACAGTGAGGAGAAATCGGACATGTAAGGTGTGCCATTTCAGACTGAGGCTGGAGCATCAAGGCCCCACTCCTTGCTGCCGAGGGTAAGTCCCCCTCCTCACATTTTTGGTATTATAATAAGAAGAGCCACAAGCAAATGAAGCAAATAATTAACGGTAGGGCAACAGGTCGTCTCGCCAGCTCCACCTTGAGCGAAGGACCCGGAAAGAGTCCGGGTGATATTTGCACCTTGAACACAGGAGCTCAAAAGGGGCTAGCACTTGGCTGTAAAGCAAACGAACTTTGTGCTGAACCCACCTGCTTGGAGTCTTGTTGGCTGCTGCCGACCTGTGACTCTCCCACTGACACTGGACAGTCCGTGCACTTGAACTAGATGTGCCCCCAGTTCTACCAGAGGCCACTGCTAGGAAACAGACCCTGGGACAGGTGAACGGGACGTCGTCCAGTAGGGGCCGGGTTTGGCAAACTGGCCTGGATGGGGACCAGCGGTGGTGGCTTTCACTGTCCCCGGTCCCTCCTGTCACCGAGGGGGCTCCGCCCCGTCACAGTTGAGAGAAGAGTCAGTGAGGCTACCTGGATTCCACAGTTTGACAGTCACGGCCAGTGCCAGGCTCTGTAATAATCTTCCTTGCAAGCTACAAAGGTTGAGAAGGCAACTTTTCTCCCTACTCATGTCTAAATTAGAAAAAGTTACTCTCTGTTATAAGGGTAGTAATTTACAAAGTTAAATTAAAGAATAGACATAGAGGCCTTGACTTGGACCTTAAAAACTTTGACTATGTTAAGATAATGTTTTTTGAGATAAGCTAGGCAAAATCAAACACAAAATACTTATCTAACAAAATACATGCATTCTCCAGGTAGGGCACACACCCCAGTGTGTGTAGTTTCTACCCTATTGAACTGTGGGCACAGATCAGACCATCAGGCAGCTGGAATGGCCACGGCCACTCAGGCCTCTGGGCCTCCGATCCCACTCTCCCATATCCCCGTCCAAGTGTGACCAACCTTTACTACACTCGAGCCTTTTGCCCAATGGGGGACACTCAAATCACTACTCAAGTGAGGGCCTCGCTTATCAGCATCAAGTGTGACTGCTGCTTTCTTCATTTCCGAACCCACTGGCTACACAAGATCCAGAGCACCCAGCCATGCCCCTGCTCCTCTTGCTGCAGAGCACCGGTTTGCAAACCATAGTCCTAGACCCCTCGGAATCCCCTGGAGCCTCCCAGGGGCCGGCGCAGAGTTTGAGGACAGGGTTAAAAAGGCAGGGCTACCGGTGCTTCCCCTGCCCCTGTGTCCCGCCACGGCGATGTTGCTTCTGTACGTATTAGATACCGGCATTCCAGGTCACATCTGCATTTCCCACTCAGACGAGAGACCTACTCAACTCGCTGAGTGCCGGCAAATGAAATGAGGGCGTCACACACCTTCACTAAAGCGACGAGGATCGCCCTCCCTCTGGTCCCCCCAGCCACCACCGCCAGGCTCTGCAGTGCTGTGTCCATGGCAGCTCATGTGACCCTCAACAACATGTCTTAAAGTAGAATTACCGTTCTTTGTAGGCAAATAAACTAACCCAAAGAGGCAAAGGTTTCCTGAAAGCAGCGTGGCTCCTGAGTGGCAAAGCCAGGACACAAACCCTAACCCTTCCGACGCCGAACTCCAGCGCTGCCCACAACACTCCCTTGCAGAGTGTGCTCAAGTCCCATCTCACTCGAAACACTTTGCCTGCATACTCATTTACTCATTTGATCTCCTCTTCCCAAGATGGCCTTATCAATTTCCCAACTAAAACTGGGTCCCAGGGAAGAAGGGGGAGTGAAAAAGAAAGATCATAGAGACCAGACTCCCCTGGAATTTCTATAAATCTCCTGTGGGCTTCGTGGTACATGGCCTCCCCAACATGAACCACCCATGGCTGATACTGAGAAACAAACAATCAAATCACTGAACACCACTAATGAACACAGCGAAACTAGGAAAGGTCAGTAGCTGGCAACACACACATGTGCATTTCCTTGATATATCAGGCACATTGCTGGGTTTCTCGGTAATTTGCCTCTGCTCGTAAATACACTTAAATCAGGAAACATGTGATTTCAAAGTAAATGAATGTGCAACTCTTAGGCTAGTACTAGAAAAATTACGAATGACTATTTCACAGAATCCTAACGATACATCCAACAGGAAGGGGAAGAACAAAAAAGGAATATAGTTCCTCTATTTTCAAGAACACTGAGGACTTAGAAGTATCAGTAAGTTATAGTCATAACTTCAGTACAACACATGCATCATTTAAAAGCTGCTGTGCTTACACAATGTGGAACTGTCTCTCTGAAATGCCAAACAAAGTGATTCATTTCACCTGCTTTTTTTCTATGACTTGCGGGGAAATGAATACAAGCATAAGATGCTGACTTGTCTTATAGAAGGTGACATCCAAGTCAAAGCTAGACACGTGCACACAATCCATGGGAATCTCCCACTGTTCTCTCCAAACCAGCGTACTTTGGAAGGTCTTTTTGTCACAACAGCTATTGGGAAACATTCAATGGACATTCCTCCCCCTTGGAACAGTAACTTCTTCGTGAATTTGAAGCAGGGAGGCCTTTGCAAATTTACATGCACACTGGGCTTTCTAACACATTACCTGAGCAGAAAAGTCAATGAGCTTTGGCAGCAGCACTTTGCCACCTTCCTCACTCTTCAGGAAATCCAGCAAACTGCCTATTCATAAAGAAAGAACAAGTTAGTACAGTTTAAACACACAAGAAAAAAATCCAAACAAAATTCAAACGTTCATTACTCTTGGAGGGAACCCCTCGCAAAATGATTAGCTTTGCAATTCTGTACAGTTCTAAGGCCTTTTCCTGAGGTTGGTCAAACCCAGTCCCCTTTGACTTCTATAAAGGTTGGTGTGACCAACCTTTACTACACTCGAGCCTTTTGCCCAATGGGGGACACTCAAATCACTACTCAAGTGAGGGCCTCGCTTATCAGCATCAAGTGTGACTGCTGCTTTCTTCATTTCCGAACCCACTGGCTACACTGGCGTGAAGCATAGCACGTGCTCCAGGTGAGAAAGGATGAGGGTGGAGGCTGCTTTTCTCTCTACAGGTTTCTGAGAGCGATGCGTTTCAGAGTTCCCGCCACCGTGATTCACTGACTGCAGCCGCCTCATCTTTAGCGAGCTCGTCTGGAAAGAAGTCCAGCAAGTCCTCACAGAGGGGCTGCCCTCGGCAGACGGCCGGCTAGGTTCACTCCTGCCTGTGCCTCGCAAGCAGCACAGAACTCAGCACACGCCACAGGTGCCCATCGGGTATGTGATGAGTGAACCGTGCTTTGGGAAAAAGTGGGGCCTACCTAAAAAGGAATGCACCGACAGGTAAACTCTCCGGCTCCCTGCGGCTTCATCTCTAAAGCTTTCCCCCTAGAATTTTCAGTACCAACCTCACAGGTAGCCTTGGTCAAGTTATTTACCTCATCGAAGTCTCTGTAAGGTGTGCATGCACTCGTAGCTCTACGAGAGCCTTTATGAGAACGTAAGCATAGGATGGGCTCAAAGCACCTGGCGTGGTGCCTGGTGGGTGCTAAGTGCTCACAAAACGTTACACTACCTGTCCACACAGAACAGCAGCACTTAGCCCTGGACTGCTGAGAAGATTAAGTGGGATCACCCATGGAGAGCATCAAGAGGAGTCTAGTATATGGTAAGTACTCAGTAAGTGGTAGGTATTATTATGTGGAAAACTCACATTTACACTTACGATTAAAAATCCTTTTAGTTAATAAATATTTTCCGGACTCCTACAAAGTGTCTGGCCCCGAGTCTGGTTTCTGGGCTATAGCAACCCAAGCCTTAGAGGCTAGTTTTTGTTTCCTTTTGCTTTTTTAAATAATGTCCTTTTTTGGAAGGACTCTGAGTGATTGATATTTTGAAATATCAACAAATACTACATAAGAAAATGTAATATTCATCTTTTGAACCTGTTCAGCTATGACACTACACTGTTATCTCCACTAAACAGATGATTGTTAATTCTAGATTATTGCTTATGTTTCTTTCCTTCCTTCACTCACTACTTCCGAAGACTTTTAAAAAAATCATTTGGCAGTTTATTAGTCTTTTCCCTACACTGGAGATGGACAAAGGAAGCAGGGTGGTGATTCAAAACCCTCTAGGCGAAGGTAGTAAGAGTAGAATAAAAAATGATTGAAACCTCTTCTTCAGCAATTCTATGATTACACCAGAATTTAACCTCCACAAGTTTTAAACATATTAACATTTTAAAGTGACACCCTGAACATTGAGATAGTGCTGAAGAGGAAAATGAAAGAGGAAAATGAAAACTAGATAAAGCTAAAGAATGAAAAGAAAGAGGAATTAAGTTTAAACAATCTGTACTAAATCTGTAGTTTCAGAATTCTGAGAACTCACATTTTAAGTACATAACAAAAATAATCTTCTTTGAAATACACATGGTATGGGGTACTATTCTTGGGGCTAATAGGTATATGTAGGCAGACACGGAGAAAACAGGAGGACTGTCATCAATTTTATAACACGGATTACTTCTGATGAGTAGGCTTACGGAAATGCTTTGTTTTCCTATATTTTCTGATTTTTCAGCAGTGAGCATGCAGCTTTACAATGAAAGCTATTTGAGTGTTCTCTGAACATTGACACGTTTTACTTTCTGAGTTGGAAGCCTTTGAAAGGCGCCGGGCATTGGGAGGCACTCACCCTTGGCCATGTACTCCGTGATGATGTAAATAGGCTCCTCCCTGGTGACCACGGCATAGAGTCTCACGAGCTTGTCATGCTGAAGGGTCTTCATGAGGTTGGCTTCTTCGAGGAAAGCTTGCACGGACATGGTGCCTGGTTTCAGGGTTTTTACAGCCACTTTGGTACTGTTGTTATAGTAACCTGGGGAGAAAAAGTAAGTCAGGGCATACTTTATCAAACAGAAAATGTGAAACTTCACTTTGTAGAGGCAGTGTTAGAAGAAATTTAGTTATAGATAGAAAAAGCCTAAGATAAAACACTACATAGTATTAAAATTAGGGGAGACCGGGTGAAGGGTATCTGGGAATTCTCTGTACTTTCTTTACCAAAACAATTTTTTAAAATTATTCCAAAATCAAAAGGTTTTTTATAAAAGTATAGTTTAAAAAAATTTTATTTGCACTCCACCATGAGGGCTAATGTTTTCCTCTAGTTAATAAAATGTTCTTTATCCAAGACCAAAAAAAAAACAAAATGAAGCTCGATATACTCTATAATCCCTTGCACACACACATGTGCACACACATGTGCACACACATTATAATCCCCATTTAAAAAATATAACCATATTTTATAGATACACAGACACAAATACATATAAACAATGGTCTGGAAGGAAATACACCAAATACTGGCTATCTCCAATGAGCAGTTTTAATTTTGCTCACCATACCATTAACTATTTACCAAATTTTCTAAAATGAATATATATTACATTTTTATAACCAGAAAAAAGGTGTAGTACTTTATAAAAATTACATATACACACTACCTTTAAAGTACAATATGCCAGAGTCAAAGGAGCATTCCCCAAAGTTTTCAGACAACTGGGCTCGGGTGACTCTGCCTGCCAAAGGGCCCTAGGCTGAAATGACAGGGACCCCCTCTGGGGACTGCTCCCCACCCAGAAGATGCAGCCGGTGCCTTTGGAACCTTCAGGAAAGAAACCTGAATTTGTTCACCTCGGCATTTCCCACACTTTCTTAAGCTCAGGGTGTTTGTCTAGTACCTTTTCACACCTCATGGAACACACTCTGGGAAATACGGACTCCTTAATATAGTTCCCTCAAAGCACCACTTTTCTGGGACTTGCCTTAGTGAAGTACTTAACTTTAACACTGATTTTCTCCTGGGAAAGCCTTTTCTCAATGATTTGCTAAAGCAGAAATATTAATAAGGTATGCCGCAGCTTTATAGGATCAGCCCCAAGAAAAGGTGATACAAGGCCAGATGCGGTGGCTCACGCCTATACTGTCAACACTTTGGGAAGCCAAGGTGGGAGGATTCCTTGCGGCCAGGAGTTTGACACCAGGCTGGGCAACACAGCAAGACCCTGTTTCTTAAAAAAATTAATAAATTAACAGGGTGTGGCAGTATGCACCTGTAGTCCCAGCTACTCAAAAGGCTGAGGCAGGAGGATTGCATGAGCCCAGGAGTTGAAAGCTGCAGTGAGCTATGATCTCACCACTGCACTCCAGCCGGAGCAACAGAGCAAAACCCTCTCTCAAACAAAACAAAACAAAACAAAAAAAAATAAAAAGAAAAGGTAATATAGAGTGTTTAGTCCCCCTTTTGAGGGCACAATATTATCTGCATGTGTATAGCACCAAAGGTGACTAAAAGCATGCTCAGTAATGACATCAACAGTGATTATCTCTGGGAGGTAGAATTTGGGGTGACTTCTACTTTCTCTTGTTCTTTTCTATCTTGATTAAATTTGCCAATGAGTATGTATCTTTTTTTTTAACAAAAGAAATTATTTTTAAAAAGAAAAGAAATTATGTTCCTATGTCCAAACCTTCAAATGGGCAAGAAAAAGTATTAGCTTACAGAGAACAACCCTAGCTAATGATTTTTCTTTGGGTAATTAAGACTGATTTCTGTATTAAAACATTTCCATTTGTATTCCACTTTGGTTTATACTCAGTAGGAGCTTGCTGTGCCCTATAGGAAAATGAAGAACGCAGCATAAAGTAAGTGTTAGAACGTACAGAGAAGACAGTAATAGAAAGCTGACAAAAAACCATCATAGGTCTTTTCAGAAGCTTCAACCTACCCTAAATAACTGAATCGTGAATATGTTCAATTGATCTGACATTTAAATGTGTAGGGCCTTTCTATAGAGCTTAAGTGTTATTTTAAAGTAAATTCCACCAACGGGAGTCCTTTAATATTACCTGTAACTCAACAAAATTCCATTATAAATAGTCCTCAGTTACATGAGTCTGTCCATGGTAAAACACAAGAAGAAAATATGCTCTCTGTGATACATGTGACTGACAAGGAACTAGCATTCAGAATATATAAATAGTTCCCACAAATCAATAAAAAAAATAGAAACAATAGGAAAAGGCTTGCATGGGCATTTCAAAAAAAAAGAAATCCCAATGATCAATATACATGTGTACTCAATCATTTTAGTAATCAGGGAAATGCAAATAAAACCATGATGAGAAACCACCGCTGAGCTTGACAAAAATTTTAAGAGTCTGACAATCTCAAGTGCTGGTGAGCACCTGCCCCTTGAGAGGGACACCAGGCCAACCCCCCTTTTCTGAGCATCACTGAAATTCAACTGTAAAGCTTCCGTAACAACATTCCAAGGGGCCCACGAAGGGGGATGAGAAAGCACCTCCTTCCAAGCGACCACACACGGCCTGTGCCGCCCTGGGGCCCACACCCCTCTAGCTACAACCCTGCTGGTCAGGAAAGGGGGCACGGAAACTCTCGTCCATTGCTGGTGGGAGTATGAACTGGGACCAGCACTTCGGAGAGTAAGTTGGCAGTAAAGTTGAAGATTCATATACCACCCCAAAATCCACTCCCGTCCTATCCGCCCTAGAGAAGCATCTATACAAAAATATTCACAGCACACTGTTCATAGTAGTCAAACCCCGGGAACAACTCCAATTTCACCAGTAAATAGTAAAACGAATGGGTAAACTGTTGTACACCTTGAATGCACACACAACACAATGCTACACAGAATGAAAATGAAAAAACTGTAGCTACCACACCCAAACACATGGATGAATCTCACAAACACGTTGAATAAAAGAGGCAAGACATAAAAGAGCACATTTGGTGGGACTTACTTATATAAAGTTTAAAAACAGGCAAAACTGAACTGTTTTGGGGGGATGCATACATCCCCATATACGAAGGCTGTAAAACTATGAAGAAAAGCCAGGACGTTATCACAGGGTCAGAATAGCAATGGTTTCTGGGGAACAGGTGGGGCTTTGGGTGCCACGGGACGGGCAGGGGGTGGGGCGCTTCTGGGTGCAGGCAAGTTTCCACCGTGCAATCTCAGTGGCTGGTACACGGGTTTTCACTTCGCAATTACTCGTGAGACTGGATATCTGTGTTGTATGCATTTTTCTGTCTTGCTTGTTATATTACTTAGTGATAAAAGTTAAAGAAACAAAACTGTTTCTTCCTTTCTGCTGTCAAAAAAAAAAATGTTCTCCTTTTGTCATGAAGACAATGGAGCTCATCGAAACTCTTATGTAATAGGAAAGTATGGGTAAAGGTTGAAGAAAAAAAATGCCTTCCAAGGGTAGGGGAAAAGTTACCAGGAAATACTGCAGCTGCAGATATTCGAATGCTGATAAGGAGTTTGAGACGAACACTGAATAAAACAGCTGCATCAGGCGGGCGCGGTGGCTCACGCCTGTAATCCTGGCACTCAGGGAGGCCGAGGCGGGAGGATTGCTTGAGCTCAGGAGTTCGAAACCAGCCTGAGCAAGAGGGAGACCCCGTCTCTACTATAAATAGAAAGTAGGCAAACAACTAAAAATAGAAAAAAATTAGCCGGGCACGGTGGCGCGTGTCTATAGTCCCAGCTACCCGGGAGGCTGAGGCAGGAGGATCACTTGAGCCCAGGAGTTTGAGGTTGCTGTGAGCTAGGCTGACGCCATGGCACTCTAGCCCGGGCAACAGAGCCAGACTCTGTCTCAAAAAGAAAAAACAACACAGCTGCGTCAAACGCAGCACAGGAACGATGGCAGCTCCGCTGAGTGATCTCATTTTGTGGAGCCGCTGACGTTCGCACAACAGGGTGGTTTTGATCCTTACACTAAACTGTACTTTGCCAAGATACTACCCAGGAGTTTGAAGGTTCAAACTAACCTAGTCATGGAGATTTGGGTTGTCAGTACAGATGTAAAATAATTTTTAAAAAATATTTTCAAGGTAGTAAAGAACTTCTTGTGGAGTGCCACTTGCCCACAGTTAAAGAAAGTTGATGTGACAACTTGAGAAAGCTCCAAGTCCAGCTGTGACTGGCTTTGTAAAAAGTGCCCAAGTACCTGACAAAATGGAGGTGGTTTTTTAAAAAAATACAAGCAGTTGATTTTGGAAGCTGGCTAGTGATTAATTTTAATTCAGTTGATTCAAACGAGAATTTATCAAGCAAAAGTCAATTTAAAATGTTTCCTTTCTCCGTAAACCCTCTTCACAGACCACGTGGTAAGAGGAAACATCGTTCTTAGCCTCCCTGTTCAGCCGGTTCCCTGGGAATAGAACAATTCACAGAGGAAACATGTCACCCAAGTCAGATGTCACGAGGATCACACAAACAAGAGGAAACAGCTTGAGGCAGAGACACCTCTTTCTTTCATCCCCACCCACCCCCTTGCCCCAAAGAACAGGTCACTTCCTAGTATTTGTTTGCTGTATTCCAGTCCAAAAAAATTCAGACCATAAAACAGACTAGTGAACAATTCCTTATGTTTAACAAAAAAATTAACTTACTTGGTTAACAGTAATATAATTTTAATTGGTTGTTATCTTTTCTATCAATGAGAAAAGCTAGTCTGCTTATCCTTTGAGAAGTAAGAACTAAACTCTGGCAGCTCTAAACTACACAGACCTAGTAATCACAGCAGCCCTTGGACAATCAGAATGAGACGCACACACACACAGCGGAGAGGGGGCATTCTTTGACCTCTGATTCATAACACAGCATCGCTAATCACCACTCTTGGTTTTATTCCCAGTATTCCTCTGCTAAACGTATTCGACATGCTGAAATTATTTCAATAGCTAAGAAGGAGCAGCCTGGCTGACAGCCAGATTCACAGACACTATCGGCAAAGGATCCAAGGTCAAAATTTTCTATTTTTTTCTTCTTTTCTCTT